TTAATGGAGTCTCAGGGTCAATGTTGGCCTGTGTCAGGGTCTGCAGTAGATGACCAATATTCTTCAATATTTCTGGTTGAAATAAGAGAGGATTATTTACTTTTGTGGCCTTGTTAGGGACAGAAATAAAGACAAAAGTGAGGAATTGAGTTAAACAAATATATTAACAGAAACAATAATAGAAACATATATAAACGAGAGTGTTACAGCAAGAATGTTCTGTTCGAATGTCAGAGATGACTCCTGGACACTTCCCTCTCCGAAAGGTAGTACTTGTCCCTAAATATAGCTGGGAGAGTCCATGTATGTGTGGGTAAATTACCCTAACATTTACCCACTTCATTCTATGCAAGAAGTTTGCAAACTTTTGAAAATCGGTCAGATTGCAGTATTTTTTGAATCTTCAGCCCAAAACAACCTTTTTTTTTAATCATTTCACTGCATACAGGGCAATAAAGGCACTAAGATTCAAGGGATTACTGGGTATGAAAGAATAAGAGAAAAAGAAAATATTATTAAGGATAAAGAACAGGAATTAAGAAGACTGAAGGTAACAACTGACATTTTGTTTAAATTTTTGAAGTTTAAAGTTGACTGAAAAAGTAAGAATCTGTAAGAGATTTCCACAAGCAAGAAGAGCAAGAGAAGAAACTATTAGCATAGAACTAGCCATTTCAACAGTGAAAATATGAGACCTTACAACCAATCTAGTGGGATACTTAAATTTATAAAGTATAGGTATCAAAAAGAAAAGCTCATCAGAAGAATTATCATGAAAGCATTTATAGAAAAGTCACAGGGTATCTACATTATGGTGGCAGGAAAGTTACTGAAGCTGAGATGCCAGGTCAGGACCAATAACATTGCATATTCTTTTTTGTATTTTATCAAGAATCTCTAAATACATAGCAGAACCACCAGACAATGTGGCAGCAATATTCAATACATGAATGAATAGTGGACTTATAAATGTATAAAATAGATTATGTCAAAAATTTTCTAGCTTGACACATTGAACCAAATTTCCTAGAAGCAAACACAGCAAGTGAGTCAATATAATATTTCTACTTCATGTCAGTAGAAAATGTTAGCGAGTTTCTCTCCTAGAGGTTAGCAACTCAGTGTACCTTCATGGGCTAAAGCTTTATGATGACATTTTTTACAGACTTATTAAAATGAATTAAATTTTTTATGTATTTGTTTCATAAATCCCACCTACAATATTATAGGATCCATCAGCATTTAAACTGAATTGCCAAAAAATTAAAGATATCAGTACAATAAATAGTTCAATTCTACCCAACTTTTATAAAGTAAATCAGCTTTAGAATTCTCAAGATGTCACTCTCCTGGTGGTTAGCATCAGCCATGTTAATAAAAGGCAAAAAAGGTTTTCCCAGATGATTAAAGAGAGTAGTTTTGTTTTGGAGAGATTAAAATTAACAAGCCATTTCTTGCCTCAGTTAACAACAGATTGTAGATAGATATAAAATGAAGATAATGCTATATTTTTAATAATTCCTTTTCAACTGCATTAATTAAATAATATTTTTCATTATAAATAACTATAAATTCTAATCTGATTCTTTTAAGAGGTGTGTTAAAGATGAAGGAAGAATCAATGAGAATAATAAAATTATTTTCTTTGGATAAAATTGAATCAAATTGTTGTTCAAGCTTTGTTTCCTATCAAAATTGATTATAAATGCTGATCATATAAGACTGACCTGTACGCAGATTTAACATCCATAAATCTCCAGGGTATGACACCTACTTGCACTGAATCTTATCGCAGCATGTAATCATCTAATGCTCTGATACAAGTGCAGTAACATGTGTTACTACATCACAAGATGGCAAAAGCCTTTGAAAATTTTATCAGAATATCTACTAACAACTAGTATGAAGAAACTATATCCCGTCCTGAGTATGATAATAAACTAAATCTGGCAGCAAGAGATTGGAGGTTTTGAGGAGCATGTTCCCAGGTCCACTTTGATCTAGGGTGATAACACTTGTTAGGGTCCCAGCTATGGAAAAATAGTAACCCCACCACTAGCGAACAAATATTAACATTACATTTTTATAATAAAATGAGTAACAATAGATTTTTATAGCAAAATGACAATGCAAAACTAAAACAATAGAAAAATACATTTTTATAGTAAAATTACCAATAATACATTTTATGATCTACAAACTATATATCTAAAAAAAACTTAATTTTATCCTGGCAGTATAAAATTATCTGTAGTTGAAAGTATAAAATTACTTACAAAATATGTAGATTTTGGCATTAAATAATCCATAAAGGTTGATAAGCTGCTAAACAAAATCACCCAATCAACAATTTATATCTATGTCAAAATTGCTATTCTTTTTGGGTGTTCCACTTTTATTACCCAGCAATATACTAAAAGAAAAATAACTTAAAAACTATTATTTCTGAGTAATGACTTATTTTATATAGTCTGCAGACTGAATGAAATATCCTGGTGGGGGCCATAGTTTATCGACTTCTATCTATAATATCTAATACAATTCTATAATATAATCCTATAATATCCAATACAATAATTTAACTAAATATACTTGTTTGATGGTCAAGCATTAATAATTTACAAGCATAAGTTACTTTCATCTCTTGAGCATTGAAATTATTTGCAAGACAATATATATGGTATTTTTTTAATCAAAATAACTCCAAGCAAGGCAGTAAAGTCACTAAAACACAAGGAGTTACTGGGTGTGGAAGGATTAGAAAACAGAAACATTACAAAGAAGCGAGAACAATAGAAGAGAAATCAGGAAGACAGGAGATAGCGATTGACATTGCATCTAAATTTTTGAAAATCAAAGTTGGCTGGAAAGCATGGAACTGGAAGAGAGTTCCAGAAGTGAGAAGTGTGAGTAAAGAAACTGTTAGCATAGAACTTATGGCTACATCTAGCCAATTTAATGGCGAGTTGATGAAACTTTGTTGTCAATCTAATACTGTGCTTAAATTCTTTAAGTCTATGTATCATAATGAAGAACTCACCCCAAAAATTACCATGAAAGTATTTATAGAAAAGGCACAGGAAAGCAACTTTATAATGATGAGAAAGTGACTGATACCTATTTTTTTTTTTTTATATTATCAAGAATCTCTAAATATATAACAAAAGCACCAGACCATATGTGGCAGCAATATTCTTAGCATGGATGAATGGTAGACTTATAAATATGTAAAATAAATTCTAAAGAGAAAATTGTCTAGTATGAGACAGTGAACCAACTTGATGTACATCAGTGTCTAACAGACACACCCATAATGTAGTAAAGGATAGTTTTCAAAACATTTGCTTTTAATTCATATTCCTCACTCTAACAAGGTTTTGGTTGAAGGGTCAGATTAACTTCAAGGGTTCAGCTTGTTTGAAGGGTCTGGTTACTCTGAAGGGTTCAATTACTTTGAAGGGTTCAGTTCACTTGAAGAGACCAGTTAGCTTGAAGCTTTTGATTAACTTAAAGGGTCTAGTAAGCTTAAAGAGTCCAGTTAGCCTGAAAGGTCCGATAAACTCTCTTCTTGGTTTTGGTTTGACTACTCACACAGATGATTTGATTATAGGACCCTCTATACATAGCAGAGATGACAATAGAGAAATGGTGCACAATATGCCACAAAATTTCTTAACAGCCCTTTGAATTCAGAGTTTTCCATCTCCTAGGCTGGTTGCTACCCAAGGCAAGAGAAACTGATATGCCTTGCTATTTAACCCATAGCTGGAGGAAGATGGACATGCCTTTTCCAAAGGCATTAGTGCAAAGTGAACAAAACAGAATCAACAGAGACATTTCTAAAATTTCCCTAATATTATGCAAAAGACTGCTGGGAATTTTTGCATCAACTTAGTAATGGGCAACTTGGTGTGAGGTAAAGATTAGCTAGGCCAGTTTGATTGACCATGACTACTGACTCAAGACTTCTTAGGAAAGATAGTGGAGTGGTTGCCTATTAACTACACCAGAGTTTTGAATTCAGAATTGGCCTTCTAGACTGGCTGCCACTCAAGGCTAGAGAGATCAGTTTACTCTACTTGTTAACCTATAGCAGGCAGTAGAAAGAAGAAATATATTTGTGCTCTTCCTAAGGGTGAAGTTAATGAGATAATGATATATATTTTTTATATCAGGAACAATATTGAGGAAAAATGTATAGCAAAAAGTTTTCTTGGGACTTCATGAAGTCCTAAAGGATGAAATGCATCACAAGAAAACTTTTTCTAATTTGTCATACATTTTTCCCCATTGAAGTTAATGCAACATACTATTAAGTCAAGACTTGAACCTCACTTGCCAATTTCACTTCCCATGTTGATAACCATTAAACCACCTACATATCCGTACACATGTATATGTATATGTCTATATGTAATGCTTATGTCAGAGTTTAAACAGTAATTTTCAGGGTGCAGTGACATTTATCGGAGTGGGGGGGGGGGGCTCAATTGAGACTGGTTAAGTGGAACAACACAATCAAGTTGATGACAAAAAAATAGAGAACCAGGCCCATGTTTTCATTTTCCCTCCACAGCCAAGAACGTACACACAACCTTTCCTTTTTTACACAGCCTGGGAAGAAGCTGGTTTTGGTGACAGTGTTGCTATCATTTAGAAGGCCAGATTACCAATGTTGCTGGGGAAAACACGGCAGCAAGATGTCAATGGAATTTCAATTTTCTGTAGATGAAGACATTAACCTTTGGCAATATAGATCATTCCCAAGTGCCAAGCGCCAAGTATAAAGACCAAACCTAACAGACATTTTCATGTAAACATGAAGATGCTTCCATTTGGTGTCAGAAGGAGGAGGTGATACAAAATAATTACAAAGATCAGTCAGACATTGAGTTAGATTTTCTGAAAAGAATTCAATGAATATTTTATTCACTGTCAATGGCTTATGGGGCCATTTTAAAGAAAAAGCAACTATGCCATCTTATTCAGTTCAGCTTAGGGACATATCACATTGAAACACTGGTTCTCATATGATCACCAGAGTTAAGCAATGTCAAGCCTGGTCAGTACCTAGATGAGTGACTGCTTGGGAATATCAGATA